CGCCCCTGTCGCTACGGCATCCCCACCTTCGGGTCACTGTCTTACCGACATACCCTTTTTCGGGCCCCTACCGCTACGGCATGTCCATTCTTATGAGTCACCGCCTTCACGGCATACTCTTTATCACTACTTATATGTTTTGATTTGGTTGCATTTGCATTTGCATGTATTTGCATGTTTGTGTTTGCATGGATAGTGAGTCAGACTCGTTAGGAGAGTGACCTCGTGTTGGTCGCGATGTCTTAACGAGCATTGCTTGCTGTGTTGATCCCAATGAGCAGTGCGAGTTAAGTCATCGAGATTGACACGAGCATGACTGTGCTAAAGATTTAATAGATCTAACTCGTGTCACCGCTCTTTGTGCGCTCTTCGTAACACCCTTTAGATCCTTCAAATCTTTAGAATGGACCGATATGGCGACCCGGTCAAAGTCATACTACACCCATACCTACCCCGCACTTAGATACTAGGTTGACGCACTTTTTGTTAGTGGTGTGTTAGGTTAGGATTTAGGGTGCTATGCAGTTTTTTTTATGTCTGGGTATTGTTCTTTGTTGGATTGGTTGCCCTGATCAGGTATCTTTCATTTGCATTATGCTTGTGATGTGACTGCATGTTGCCTATGTGGGGTAGTGTGTTGGGGCGTTCTTTTGCAGGGAGTCATGTCTATTTATATGCACACACACATACAGGTACCGCTATTGGGGGAGCAAATAATGATTTCTGACCCTTTTGCTTGCAGGTGCTATTAACTCTCTCACTTTTAAGATATGGTTTATTATACGTTATTCACATGTGAGTTTTCCCGTTGATATTTGTTTTCATGCAGGATTGAGTTTTTTTTATTTTCTTTATGTACTTTTAGAGTCTAAGAGAGTCCTATAGCAGAAATAAGATACAAGCATGGGTTCCGAGGCATTTGACGCGGAAACCACGTGGAGGGGACCAGGAGCAGATGCTCGTGCCACGTATCTTAATTCTGTATTTTATATTGATGTACAGAATTAGAATCGAGTATGTATATGCGGAGCCCGACCGCCTTCTTCTTTTCTGGGATATATTGTCTGGGATATGTTGTCGACCCAGCGGCACCGGCATGTTTATTATTTTGATTTGACTTGTTTTGTTTTTTCATCATGTTGCATGTCTGCACTTGCATGTGTTTTTCTTGTTTTCTTTCTGTGGTTTATCTGAGATTTCACGATACAACATGGGCTCTTTAGGATTTAAAATCCTAAATTTTCTATAAAATTCTAAATAAAATATTCAAGATAATTAAAATTTAGAATTAAAATATTCAGGATTTAAAAATTGCAAATTTTACTTTTCTGCATATGATAATAGAGTCTTCACAATACTTATGACCGCTCTAGATAACTGCATTCATATTTGTATGTTCCGAGGAGGAGTCATCGTACTTCTCCAACTTGACTGACCCAACATACCTTCATATAGATGGTTGTCTAGTGTGCCTAAGGTGTTAGAAGACTCTCCGACCCGGACGAGTATAAGTTTTTTTGTTTTGAGCGTTTCCAGCTGTGCAGCTGAACTTCCACTTTCTCTTCTTTCCCGAGGCATCATTGTCATTTCGGCAGGCATAAGTCTCACCTCTTAGAGCTTTAGCTTATAGTCATAGGATAGAGTTTTCTTCCTCTGACCTTAGGGCTACCGAGGTTCCCGTAGATGACGCAATTCACGGAGTGCTGACCGGGGATCTCAGGACGTGTTAGGTCGGCTACCTTCA